TGTGATATTTATTGTTTGTGTTCACATAGGTTAATCTATGCTTAGTTTGTATGTCAATGTGATGCAAGATGTTATATGTACATGTAAAAGAAAGGAAAATAAAGAAGATGTGTGATGTGTATTATTGCATGTATATATGTCTGCATGTTTGACTCTGTGGATGAGTGAATATATTTTTGTATGTTTAGATGAATTTTACTTTTCTGTAGACAGAATGAACTTAACATTTTCTATAAGTTGGGATGCATGATTAGGAAGCTTCACTAGATATGAATCTAGACTATGCTTAGGTATGTGTGAATAATGAACCAAAAAGAAGAAAAAATGAAACTTCTTAGATTGAGTGTGACTTTGAAAGCTTCAAAATATCTATTTATCTATCTATCTATCTATCTATATTGATACATACATGTATATATATATAGTGTGTGTGTGTGTGTGTGTGTGTAAATTAAATGTGCTACATAACGAAATATTTTAAATGTAAAACAACCCACCAAAAAAAATCTTTTGTGCTTTAACTAAATGTGCTCTAAGAGTTACACTTTTAAATATAAACAACTAATGAAAAAGAATATTCTTCAACTTTAGTTAAATGAGCTCTTGAATTCTTCATTTAAAAGTGTAGAAAAGCTCAAAGGATATTTCCCTTAAGAGAATCTTTTGATGATTTTTTTTCAAACTTCAAATCTATTTAAAAATTTTTTAAAAAAATATAAAACTCCTTTTTTAAAAAATTAAGATTCACACTTTTTAAAGTTCTTTGTTTAAGAAAAATTAAAGAACTTTTCTAAAATTCAAAAAAATTTCCAAAAAGACAAACGATCATTTCAAAATATTTTAAAATCTTGTTCAAAGTTCAAAACACTCCTAAAATTAACATAAAAAACTTTTTAAAAATATAAAAGTATTAAAATACCTATTTCAAAAACATGCTTCTTTTAAACTTAAATGATTGTAAGAAACCTTTCAAATTTAAACTTTTAAAAATCATTTTGAGCATAGGATAAATGAATTTGATAAATTTTACTAGACTCTCTCAAAGTGTTTAATGTAGGCAGGACTTATATACTCTTTAACTCAAGTGTCTACTCCAATGAATATTGTTTATCCCTAGAAACATATGATTTAGTAGCCTTGGCTTATGATTATATAAGACTTGGACCATTATAATTCTAAATGTTTCATATAAAACTCCTATTTTTCATATTATTATTGCGTGACAAATAAATTTTCCAAATAATCAATTTTGCATGAGAAAATAAAATATTTTCAATGAAAAAGAGTGACTTGAATATATAGAGTATAGAATTAGAGAGTTTAAGTTTAATTATTTTGAATATAAAGTCTTACATTACACATACTTAAAACGCTAGAAATGAGGAACAAAAACACTTAGGAAACAAAATTGATCATCAAACCTTAGAAGAACCATGATTTTCTGACGCCGACTAATATTGTAGGAAAATTGAAACTGAAAACTTGAGAAGAACTTTGATTTGTCATCATAACTGACAATCCTAGGAATCAAACAGATCGGAATTTAAGTTGTGAACCCTTAAAATAACTAAAAATCAACAAACTAAATTTTTATAATCACAACCTCTGATAGCTCCAAACTATGAACCCTATCTTAGCTAACGTAGACGAAAACCTAGCTCCACATACATCCTAGAATAGTCTAGTCTAGAATTTTATGTTAGTTTATTAGGTATCTAATAGAAAGAATTAAGGAGTAGGTCATATAAATATAAATATCAATATTTCATGTGGTTTATATGTAATTATCCCATGAGCTAGGGCAATTAAATATAGACCACCCAAAACTTTCTATATACAAATCAAACACCCTTTTCATCTATTTTTCATATTCTCACTCAAATATCAAAATTCATGATAAAAGCCTAACAATTCTCACTCAAATATCAAAATTCATGGTAAAAGCCTAACTCACATTTTTTTTTCATTTCTATCAATTGTTTGATTGTGGCGCACATAAAATTTATTAGTTCTGTAGTTTAAAATAATCACCTGATTAAGATGGCCTATATTTATGTAACTCCTAAAGTTTATTTTTTTACATTAATAACATCTAAACATTTCATATCAGATAAAAAATACCACTATATTACCTTTTAAAAAGTGAAATATACATTTTGAAGCATCGGTAAGATGGTATATATATACAAATTAAAAAACAACATTTTACAAATGTGAATACATAAGAATTGAGTGGTTTGTATGTAAATCTTCCTTTTTGATAATATAATTTCAGGGAAGGCTAGAGAAATCTTAACTATTTACAAATGCCACGAGTGATTACAAATATAACACTCAAATCTTAACGATTTACAAAAACGTAATATGACAAGCCTTGAATTCAAAGCAGTGTCAACATTGTGCTGATTTTTTTCTGTGCAAAATAAAATTTAGGAACAAAGTACACCGCATTTCATCAACAAAATATGGTAAAATAAAATTCTATATTACAACTAATAATGCATCAGAAGGAAACATTTTTAGCAATGAAAGACTACAAAGAAAAAATGCTTACAAAGCCTCATTTCAATATCAACACATTTACTATAATATCAAGCCTTGCAGACAATCCTATTTACAGTAAACAATTTAGGCTAAAAGGGTTTTGTTGACTTTAAAATAATTTATGATCCATGAAATAAAAGAAGATTTACTTAAATATCATTCAATTTCTATATATTTACATAACTAATACCGAAATTTCACTTTTTACATACATATCATTTTACCTACACATAAAAATGTGCATTTAAATTTTTAAGAAGTTACAATGGTTATTCTGTTTTTTTTTTTTTTTTTTTTTTTTGCGAGAAGGAAGATTTGTATGATACAATTGTAAAATGAAGAATTTAGGTGTTAGAAATGAGTAAATACATAGGAACTGGACAGTGTGACACTCAAGAGCGATTACTTTGTGTGGACAGCGCTCGCAAATTGCGTGTGTTGTCCAATAAATTTTTTTTAAAAATAATAATAATAAAAGTGAGGCCCGCTGACATGCACTTTTGATAAAGGGAGTTTTAATTGGTTCACCGCACGCATCTCTTCTCGTGCGGTGAACGTACGCAATAATTTTTCAACGCTCAATTATCCCGTATAGAGAAATCACTTCATAATGAAAACTCCCATGAAAATAAAATAAGAAGTTAGTTGATTTAAAACCAACACACATATAATACATAATGAAGAATTTTTAGCATTAAATGCAGGATTCCTTTGTTATGGATCAGAACAGTCAAACGTAATCACATGGTCTAATTAAAATGTTTTTCTCGTATTGAAATACATAATGTAAATAAGTATTAGAATAATTTCGACTCTTTACAGATAATTATGTCAGAGTTTATAAAAATATCAGTTTAATCCTAAAGTTTTTTTAATGAGTTAAAATAGTCCCATAGTAAGGACCATTTTAGCTCCATTAAAACGCTGGGATTAAAATGATCAAATATAAATAGTCATTTTAGCACTTTACTCTTATGTAAATAAAATTCAGTTTAAAGCAAGTCAGAAACATGCATGACAAAATTTGATTTTATTTTGCCAAGAAGATGCCAAAGCTTCAACGATGTTGAGAACTTCAAAGTAGGACTAGATCCAAATCTCATAATTTGGCTTCAGCATCATAAGTTGATGAAAATTCCAATCCAAGATCTTCAACAAAAATAGCACAGCATAAAGCGACAGAGCTAATACAGCATTGCTGAAATTCTGAAAGTAGGTTTAAGCTCCGCTTTAACAATTCTAACAACTCTCAACCTCAATAAGCTATTACAAACTTATTCAAGCTAAGCCTTCAAACGCATGAAAATCATATTAAGATCCAAGTACAATTTATAGTCCAAAGCTAAGATCTATAGTATCACAAGCCCTATGTTCAATCAAAATATACAATAATAATGCTAAATCTGTAGATTAGATCAATAACCAATTCCCAAGCATTGGAGACAAATTATTGTTTAAACTAAATTAAAATGTAATGCCTTTTAGCGCATTGGATATGAAGCTCGATGTGTTCTGAAATGGTTATTGAAAAGTAATTGAAACTTAATTTCAAAACTGCAAATTCCAAAACCGCTTATGCTTACAACAACAATAAATATATAAAATGAATGAAATGAGCAAACAAAAATAAAACACACACAACTCTCAACCTCAATAAGCTATTACAAACTTATTCAAGCTAAGCCTTCAAACGCATGAAAATCATATTAAGATCCAAGTACAATTTATAGTCCAAAGCTAGGATCTATAGTATCACAAGCCCTATGTTCAATCAAAATTTACAATAATAATGCTAAATCTGTAGATTAGATCAATATAACCAATTGTCAAGCATTGGAGACAAATTATTGTTTAAATTAAATTAAAATGTAATGCCTTTTAGCGCATTGGATATGAAGCTCAATGTGTTCTGATTGAAACTTAATTTCAAAACTGCAAATTCCAAAACCGCTTATGCTTACAACAACACAATAACCGAATAACCATAAACAAATATAATGAACAAAGTTTATGAGAGAAAAAATGTCATTAAAACACATTTCCATCAAATTCACTTCCAAACTCAGTGCTAATCACTTTTCCAAATAAACAGTACCTTAATATGAATCAGTGCAATGGACCAGATCAATAAAAAAAGCGGCATTTACAAACATACCAGCTAATTCCTATGTATTTGATAAATAACATCTAAACTTTAATTTTCACATTTGTACCACCTAAATCTTTCTTATCACCAAAAGAAAAAAACCACCATGTTAACATTTAAAAAGGCATGTAAATTTGAAGGTTAGCTGTTAGATATGTAAATACAGGGGCAATTGAGTGGTATGTCTGTAAATCTTCCACAAAAAAAAAAATAATAAAAACAATTAAATCAGCTTTTCATTAAATCAACCATCTATGCTGTTAACTCCCAGCTCAAAAATGATTCAACCATTCTTCAAACCATGCTGGCATGGAAGAAGCACATAATTTAAGTAAATGGGCACCCAATTTACATTATTTTACCTAATACAAAATCGAATCTATTGATCCAAATAAAAAAGATTAAAAAAAGAAAAACATGAAGCTTTTAGTTCAAAAATTAGTTAACAGTATGCCTAATCATCTTTTATATCACATAAATATGAGTTGAAATATAATCACATTAACAAAAGGAACCCACTATATATAATAATAATGATTATGACAAGGACTCATCTATCAGGGAATCAACATTTTCTTCAGGTTTTTTCTCAGAAGGTTCACTTGGCCTCCAAATGGTTCCCTTTGGTTCATCCATTAGGGATATGCCCTTCAAATAAAGTTCCAACCTGATCATGTCGGATTTCCCGTACTCCTTGTTCTTCCTTGCAAGGTTTCTCTCCTCAATCTTCTGCTGAACTTCCTCCTCTGTAAATCCTGCCCTCTTCAGTGCCTTCTCTTTTAGCCGCTGCAGAACCTCCAGAAAAAAAAAGGAAGATTTACATACATACCACTCAATTCCTATGTATCTACATATTTAACACCTAAACTTCAATTTTTATATACAAGCCATCTCCCCAAGACACGAAAGGGTGTATTTCACATTTTAAAAGTTAAAATGGGGATATTTTTTATGTGATATTAGATTGCTACTATACAACTTGAAAGTTACCTTGGAGACAGTTGAGGAAGACAAGAGACCCAGAGAACCAAGAAAATCTTTGACTTCTTTTTCCAGTGCATAAAGAGAAAGAATCAATGCCTGCTGCTGCTTTTTCCCCTGCAGATGATAACAGCAAAAAAGGAAAAAAAATAAAGAGGAAGATTTACATACAAACCACTTAATTCCTCTGTATTTAGATATCTAACACCTAAACTTCAATTTTTACATATATGCCACCATATTTATACATAAACTGAATTTTGTTTTTTAAAAGCTAAAATAGTGATATTATTTATGTGATATGAAAGATTTGGATGGCATAAATGTAAAAAGGAAAATTTTAGGTGTTAGATATGTAAATACATAAGAATTGGGTGGTATGAATGCGAATGCCCGAAAAAGAAACATCAGTTGGATGACAGTCATTTTAGTTTCATGTCAAAATTCAGAAGATATCAAAAGCCATACTTTGAATTTCTTCAATGTGCCATTGATCAACTTGAGCAAATCAACAAGATTATCTAAAGCAGTAGTGGTGTGCAGATCATCAGACATCGAAGACAGATATTCATTATGGAACTTCTCAATTTGTTCCTTCACATCTGCTGGCACTTGTCCTTTGAAATTTTCGCTCCTGAAGGGGGATAAAGCCGTTTCACATTCATACAAAGTCTGCAAGCAAAATAAGATTTCAGTTTACCCAGTAGAACGGAATTTTCTTCGGGGCATTTACATACATACCACTTAAT